CACCCTGCCCAGCACGGGTCCCTGTGCAGTTACCTGCGGTGCCGGGCGACTCGTTACCTGTTTTGAGGCTGGGCCTGAACTCTCGGCTAGTGCTGGGAGGCGGGAAGGCCTCTGGGGCTGTCTGTGCCGGCAGGGCTCGTATGGAGGAGGAGTCAACTCTTCGTCACCAGAGAAGCTCCTCCGCACCCCACCTGTCAGGGGCAGGCTCGACAAACTGACAGGCTTCTTCCCAACCGGCATCTTCCTCTCTAAACATCAAGTCAGACTGAAGTAAGCTTTGACTCGCGTGGCGGCAGGAAAAGTGCATTGCATAATAAGGAAGCTGGGGTGCACAGGGCCCCGCGGAGAACCCACCAGACGAGTCCGCGCTGCAGGGGACGGGTGGGTGCACGTCTGTGCGTGGAGGGACAGCGAGGGGAGGTTCTACCTTCTCGGTGCCTCATAATCCCGGCCCCGACTCCCAAATGAATCTTAAACCAAATAAAGCAAAATGAACCAGAAAGCACCTAGGGGAGAGAACATCTGGCCAATTCCAAGGGAACCTTAGCTTGAGGAAGGGTGAGAAAACCAAAACCAAAGGGAGAGAGGGAGAGGGAGAGGGAGAGAGAGACAGAGAGAGACACAGACAGAGAGAAGGGGGAGGATGCTGTCTCTGTTTGCAGAGCTGGGGCTGGGCAGGGCCTTACTCCACACCCAGCCTGCGGTGACCTGAGAACACTGCTGGAGGGGCACCTCACGGCCGCAGCAGCCCCACGGGCCTAGCATTACAAAAACGTTATAATCTAAATGATATATAATGTGCTCCCTCTTAGGGAATGGCATGCTTATCCTGAAAAGCACTTCTAAAATTCAAAGTTTATGACTTACTGTCTGCAAATTCTTCATTTCTTTCTTTCATTTTTTTTTTTTTTTGCTACCGGGGAATCAAACTCTGGACCTTGAGCTTGCAAGGCAGGCGGCGGCACCACTGAGCTAAATCCCCAGCCCCGTTTTAAAAAAAACCTATTGCACCCTTCGGTTAGTTTCATAAGCACACATAAGCTTTCCAGGACTCACACAGCTTTACCAACCAAAAATACACCTGAAGTCTGCATACACTAAGCCGCCAAGAAAAGTACACGGGTCAGGCAGGAAGCGGAAGGACATTTCCATCTCTCACTGTAAATGAGGCCTGTTTTCCTTCACAGGATACAATGACCCAGGTAAACACCACCAGAACCATGCTTCACAAAACTGTCACTGAACGGTACAGCGAAGCTACACATGGCCAGGAATGTGACGTTTTCTATTGCACTACGTACTTGGACCAGGTCAGAGGGTGAGGGGCAGTCTCCACCTCAGTGCTCACAGGAGCCCTGAAAACAGGGAAATTCAAGACAGAAATCAATGCTGCTTTTCCTGCTCTGGGATTACTACATACACTGTGAGGAAAAAGGCTCTGACAGTCTACTTGATCCTCTAGGCAGTAAATGACTTTTTTTTTTTTTTTTTTTTTTTTTTTTTTGAGACAGGGTCTCACTATGTAGCTGAGACTGACCTGGAACTCACTATGTAGCCCAGGCTGGTCTTGAACTCACAGTGATCCTCCTGCCTCAGCCTCCCGAGTACTGGGATTATAAGTTATAGGCGTGTGCTACCACGCCTGGCAAATGCCTCTTATTTTTGACATTTATCCTTTCACAGCACAGCTTGCTAGCTACTGATAAGCTAGAACCAGAGGCCGTCAACTCTCTGAGAAGCAAGCACTAGTAAAGAGCTGGGGAGAGACCTGAAGTACCAAAGCACCAAGGAGCCGAAGATGAACCACCAGGACACAATCATCTACAGCAAAATGAAAAGACAAAGCAAGGTTTTGTAGCCCAAGTGCTACCAATAAATGCCTGCCTGCAATGGATGCCTTGTTTCTACACCCCAAGTTTTTTCTTAACAGTTTTGTGGGAGAAGTTTCTAATAAACTGTGGATGATATAAAAAAAGATTAAGAGCCGGGCATGGTGGCGCATGCCTGTAATCCCAGCACTCGGGAGGCTGAGGCAGGAGGATCTCCGTGAGTTCGTGAGTTCGAGACCAGCCTGGGCTACACAGTCAGTTCCAGGTCAGTCTCCACTACATAGTGAGACCCTGTCTCAAAAAAACCAAAAAAGATTAAGGAGCACCTAGTTCTTCCACAGTGAAGACTGCTTCTTAATACAACAAATACAACACCACCATTTCTTTTCCTTTCATTCTTTTCTCTTTTGTGGTACCCAGCACTGAACCCAGGGCCTTCCCATTGAGCTACACCCCCAGCTTTTGAGACAAGGTCTCTGATTGCTAAACTGCCTGTGCTGGACCTTGTAGTCCATCCTGCCTCAGCCTCCCACAGCGGTGGGATTACAGGTGTATGCCTTCATGCTTGGCTCTAGCAGTGTAATTTCTTTTTCTTTTCTGTTTGGTTTTTTGAGACAGGGTCTCACTATGTAGTGGAGACTGACCTGGAACTCACTATGTAGTCCAGACTGGTCTCGAACTCACAGCGATCCTCCTGCCTCAGCCTCCCAAATGCTGGGATTACAGGCGTGCGCCACCACGCCCGGCCATAATTTCTTATTTTTAATTCCAACATCAAAACGGTTTAAGATTCTGGCAACAAAACCATGCTCATTTGGCAATACGTTATAATCTTTACTATGTCCCCTGCTTTTTTCATTTCTGCATTGCTGGAAGTTGAATCCAGAGCTCCATGCGTGGTTGGCCTGCTTTACCACTGACTATAACTGCAAGCCTCGCCCCTATCTCTTTTTGGACAGGGTCTTGATATGTTAGTCAAGCTGGGCTTGAACTTGTAATCTTTCCTGCCTCAGCCTTCTGAACAGCTGGGATGACAGAGATGAGTGGCACTGGTCCATGCAGGTCTTATAATACAGCTATGCACAAGACAATACTCCAGTCTGCAAGAGGCATTGTGCAGTAAATCCAAAGTAGGTGTGGTGGTGCACACCTGTCATCTCAGCACTCCGGAGGCCGAGGCAGGAGGATCACAAGTTCAAGGCCAACCTGGGCTACATAGCAAGACCCTAATCTCAAAAAACACAACAAAACAAAACATCCACAAAACTATAAACTCCCACATACATCTGGACCCAAGGGTGTCTGAGATTGTGGGCCTGTATTTTTTCCCCTTTTTATGTTTGAAGAACCACCCAAAAGTGCTACAGATGTCATAATATGAAGAGCTATCCAAATGTCACAGAGCAGAATGTGTTCCACGCACAGCTACATTCTTTTTCCTGGTTAATCCACAAGTCTGGTAATGATAAATACCACCAAAAATTGGGTTACTTGTATTACTACTTCATTAACTACACATTTCTTCCCTGTCGGTAACTTATAATTCAAAAAAATTTAAATTCAATAAGCCAGAAACAAACCCTACAAGAGTTGCACCGAGGAGAGCACGTGATAGTGAACAAAATGCCCGTAAATCCGGAAGAAGTACTCTTCATAAACCACCAAGTAAACAGAGGCCATTCTTAATTTCATGTCTTGGAAGAAAATCTCAAGTTTCTTTTTTGGAGACAGGGTCTCGCTGTGCAGTTCAGGCTGGCCTTGGACTCACTGTGTAACCCAGGCGGGCCTGAAACTCTTGGTGCTCCTTCTGCCTCAGCCTCCTGAGTGCTGGGATTCCAGGTGTGCACCACAAGGAAGGCTAACTTGGCCTGTTAACTCACTTTATAGGAAGCTGCGCCATCACACACGCTGCGGTTAACCCTTGGTCACTACATTCCCTGGTAACTTCTTCCTGATTATCCGGATGAGGTGGGAAAGCTCCTGTACACTGCAGAGGCTGCTAGAAATGTTTCAGTTCCTCACTTAAAACAAATGACGAGCCAGAAGGGCGAGAACAGAGTATGTCGGAATTTTTATCTTGGTTAATGAGACAGATCAGCACTTATTTAAAAACAGCAAGTTGTGGGGCCTGGGGGTACAAACCTGAGATCCCAGCACTCGGGAGGCTGAGGCAGGAGGATTGCCGTGAGTTCAAAGCCAGCCTGGGCTACATAGTGAGACCTTGTCTCAAAAAACAAAAAACAAAACAAAACAACAAAATCCCATGGCAAACTGGTTGGAAAAGTCTTTCAGGATTAATCCTCAGGTACTTTTCGCTTACCAAAAAAAAAAAAAAAAAAAAAATCTTTGGGCCGGAGATTTAGCTCGGTGCTGCCAACGCCTGCCTCCCAAGCACAAGGACCTGAGTTTGATCCCCGGTATCCCCCCAAAATCTATGAATAAAGATAAATTTATCTTAAAATGAAATATTCCATAACAAGTAGAAACCCCGTGGCTTTCTACGTATAAGTAAAAAATATTTAAAAATAATTAAGTGGGGCCGGGGATTTAGCTCAGTGGTGCCGCTGCCTGCCTTGCAAGCGCAAGGTCCTGAGTTCGATCCCCGGTACCAAAAACAATTAACTATAATTATCAATGTTTTCCACATGGCACTGTGGCTATTAATGCCAACAAGAATTTAGGGTAAGGTAAAATATAGCATAGAAAGCATATTTGGAAAAATATGCTTTTTTAGCCATCAACTTGGATTTCTTCCAACTATCTTTACATAAAGAGAGCTAAATGCTTTGGAAGAAAGATGGATTTATTAGGACCCAGGTCTATTATAACCATCAAATACCTTAAAAAAAAGTTTAAAAAGGTTTAACTCTGAAGAGGTTTACATATTATTTAAACAATCATCTGTAGGCTCTGTTCTTGACCATGTACGCATGAATTATGAGGGTGAAATCTTTAAGAGCTAGCTAGGGTACCACGGTATTCACTCGGCTGCTCAGGTGAGTGTCTCTCACTACTGGGAAGCTGCCTTCTGCGGCGCACTGCACCTGTAAGCACAGCACACACTGCACGGTCCTCAGTTCTCACGGGGGCGGTAAATTTCTGTGCAAGGAAACCATGGCCCCAGTTGGTTAACAATTAGAAAATGTACGTAAACACCGCATGGTGACCCACTTTTCTTATGTCCTTTGTATTGCTGGGACTTAGCCTTTTTCTTCTGTTTTGATGAAGCGGACTGGCTTTCTCTTGATGCTGAAAAAACAAGAGGGAAAAATTGGCACCAGATAGCTCCTTAAAATTCTAGCTATAACTAATCTTCAAACTCGGGACGCTGCGCTAGCGAGGCAGGTGGCGGAACCACTGAGCTAAGTCCCTGGTCCTGATTTGTTGTTTTTGAGACAGTGTCTTGCTATGTAGTTCAGGCTGGCTTTGAACTATGTTCCCTGGGGTGGCCTCACACTTAGTGATGCTCTTGCCTCAGCCTCCCGAGTGCTGGGATTACAAGTGTGTGCCACCACACCCGGCTAGAATTGCTGATTTCTCCAAAAGGACGCCTTTGCTGTACACCAACTTACACTGCGACGCTGGAGGCTGCAGCTGGTATCCAGTTAACTGACACCACCCGACAGGATAGAGGTCAGGGGACTCACAGTCTACCCACTGATCGTACTCTTCCTCCCATCCATCAAAATGGATCCTCAAGAGACGATGAATAATTCGAGTTACTGTGGCTACACATATTAAACGTGGCTCCATGAGGTCTACTGCTTCTAATTTCATTCCTACACGGAATCCGTGATTTGGAACATCCTGACACAAAGAAAAGCATCATCAGCAGTGTGCAGAACAGGACACACAAATCTTCAGTCACTAAGAAAGCAAATCGGAGGACCAATGGGGCCAAGAAGGTAATTCAAATCCCAAAGCTCCAGGAATTCTTTATTTTTTTGGGTACCGGGGATCGAACTCAGGACCTTGCTCTTGGGAGGCAGGTGATAGCACCTGCTGAATCCCAGGCCACTCCAGGAATTCTTTGGTTGTTGTTGTTGTTTTTTTGAGACAGGGTCTCACTATGTAGTTGAGACTGACCTGGAACTCACTATGTAGCCCAGGCTGGACTTACAGCGATCCTCCTGCCTCAGCCTCCTGAGTGCTGGGATTATAGGCATGTGCCACCACACCCAGCTCCAGGGATTTTTTTTTTTTTTTTATTCTTTATGTGCACAAATTATGAGGGTGAAATCTTTAAGAGCTAGTTAGGAAATGTATTCATTTCTACTTCACTGAGATTAAAAACAAAACACTTTTAAAAGAAGCTTCTTTTCCCAATTAGATAAGATATTTGTACTGTTTATTATCCTAAGGAAACATTCACGTGCATCTTCACTAGGAAATTCTAATACAGCAAAGACATTTTCATGGACAAGGACTGACAGTCGTCAGTGCGAGGCTGCCCAGTAAATTTACCTTATTAAACAGTTTTACTGGTGCTGCAATGGAGCCAGTTTCCCTGAGGTAGTCAAACCATTTAAAAGGAAGTTTTGTGTAACCTACAAAACACAACTGGTTTAAGTAGCAGTTCATTCAAAATTGGCACAGTGTTAAAATGCAGACAGAAAGGAACTCAGCCCACAGATCTCAGGCCTCAGGTGCTAGGATGGACCTGAGTCACTCCGAAAGCTGGGTGCAGCGAACCCTCCCTGCAATCCAGACACCCTCTCTTTCTGACATGCGGTGTCCTACTTACCCAGTGCAAGAGCGACAGGAAGGAGAGGCTCTTGCTGTATGTGTGTGTGTGCGCGAGCGCGCACGGTACGGGGGCTGTGCTATCATGAGCTACACAGAAACCTCACACTTGTGTTTTTTCGATCCTAGGTTTTAAAACAGTCTGGTACTCAAGATATTTTCCTTTTTTTCAAAGAAAGAAAACCAGGTGAGCAGAAAAATTTTTTTGGTATCGGGGATAGAATTTGGGACCTTGTGCTTGCAAAGCAGGCAAGGGAACCACTGAGCTAAATCCCTGGCCCTGAGCAGCATTTGTTTTCACTTTCCCCTCATCTTACGAAAAACCCTCAAGGATCAGATACTGAAATTTTAAAAATCACTAGTTAAGTCATGAGAATTCTTTTCTTTTTGGTACAGGGACTCAAACCCAGGGCCTCAAACTTGCCAGGCAGGCATCAAGCCGCTGAGCTACATCCTGGCCCAAGATTCTTTTTGTTTGTTTTTTTGAGATAGTGCGTCACTGTGTAGTTCATGCTATCCTTGAAATCACGGTGTAGCCTCAAACTTGAGGCGATCTTCCTGCCTCAGCCTCCAGAGTGCTGGGGTTTCTGGCATGCACCACCACACCCAGCTAAATCATAGGAGTCCTTGAAGATATATCTCCTTTTAAGCCATCATATGTATATGGGAAAATGTCTTTTCTTCAAAGGCTAAGCATTCTTTTAAAAAATGTTCCCACGTGCAACTGTGTGGATATCTTGGGAATGCAGATCCACACTGTAATGTGCAGAGATGTTCAAGAAAGAGCTCACGGGACGGATGCGCTCCAACTCAACTAACGCTGTGGTGCAAATGCAGCCCTGCTACAGTCCATCTACACAGCCAGGAAACCGAGCGCTGCTCAGAGCGAGCGACAGCGTGTGCAGAGAAAGCAAGGGGCTCGCGTTCACTGGATGCGCTACCTCTGGGCGGGGTAAGTTCAATCATGTTAATTTCACAGAAACCAACAGGGAAAATGGAAGGGGAGGTCGCGTGGTAACAGAACCAGTCAGATCCGTCTGCTGCTTCCGAGCCGTCGATCCCGATCATCAGGTAGCCGTCAGCCAGCACCTTGGAAATGAAGAGAAACCGAGCACGTGGGTGGGACGCGGTCACTAAAGATCTCTTCAGCGTGCAAAAGCTCTTTTTTTACTCAATCATGTTAAATAACAGAAGTGACAATGAAAAGTCTATGTAAACTACAGTCTAGTCTATTCTAGAGACAAAAGCAAAATTACACCCAGAGATTATTTCGGAGGTTGGAGCAGAATGACGTATTATGAAGGGGCTGTTATTTTACAGGTTAACAAGTCTACTGTCAAGGTTTTTCCCCCACCCTGGTGGTGCTGAGGACTGAACGCAGGGCCTCAACACCGAGCTCCAGCCCCAGCTCATTTTTTGTTTTGAGACAGGGTCTTGCTAAAGTGCCCAGGCTGAGCCCAAACTTCGATCCTCCTGCCTCAGCCTTCCAGGGTACTAGTATTAAGGCCTGAGCCACCAGGTACAGCTTCTTCCTTCCACTTTATCATACACAGCAATTTTCCAATCGTTCTCCTTCAAGGTCCAACTTGAGCTTTCTTATGCTGTAGCCCACAAAAGGGACCTTGTACTCCATTTTTTATGCCTCATGTTGTAACAAGTAGCTTGCCTCCCTTATCTTTTGTTTTGTTTTGTTTTTTTTTTGAGACTTTGTAGTCTGGGCTGGCCTTGAACTCACTGTGATCCTCCTGCCTCAGCCTCCCTAGCTGTTGAGACTACAGGTATGTAGAATCAAGCCTGGCTACCTCCCTCCTGCATTTTTTTTTTTTTTTTTTTTTTTTTTTTTAGATTGAACTCTGGTTCATGTGCTTGAAAGGCAGGCGGCAGAACCACTGAGCTAAATCCCCGGCACCCCTACCACCCTCCCGCCACTGCATTTTTAACAAGACAAAGTTCTCCATTTTCATTACCACCAATACCTTGTTCTAAAAATGTCACTTACTGGTTCCCAATTTCCACTATTATTAAACATATTTTGTCCTCAGTATAGGAAAAGCACAAAGAAAGATTCAAACATACAGAGAAGGCACAAGTGCTGCTCGACGGACTATGTATGCGGCACCAGGGATTTGCCGGCCACTTCCGTCCCCGTCCAACTCGCCATACCCACCAGCACCGTGACCCAGCAGCCCTTCCCCAGCACAGGCCCCCTGGACTTCCGCCTCCTGGAGGGATCTGATGATTGTTACTGACTCTTAACTTTCCCACGTCACAGTCTACTGATTCACATCCACGCCTCTACTGTACCCTTTTCATTTCCTGCATTTATTTTCCATGTTGTGGGGGACCCAGCCCGGGGCCTGTGTATGTGGCAAGTGCTCTCCTCTCCTGTTCAGCTCTGTCCCCTACTCTGGCTCCATCTCCTCTTAGGAGCTTTCACTAAACCTTGTGATCTTTTAATTTTTTTTTTTTTTTTTGAGATAGGGCCTTGCTATGTAGCCCAGGCTGGACTTGAACTCATGGTGATCCTCCTGCTTCAGCCTCCCATGTGCTGGGATTATAGGTGAGCACCACCACACCTGGCATCTTACTGTTTCTTTGAGACAGGGTCTTGTAATATGGTTCAGGGTGGCCTCGAACTCACTATGTAGCTCAGGCTGGCCTCCAACTCCAGGTGACCCTCCTGCCTCAGCCTGTCTGCTGGGATGACAGGTGTGTGCCACCACGCCTGGCTTCATCTGCATTTTTTTAAGTTCCCCAGGAGATCTTGATGCTTATAGGGAATTGAGAATAGTTTCATAAGAACTGTTTCATATGAAAGGGAAAAGAGAGAAGATATAAAGTACTACCAAGAGGAAGAAAATTCATAAAAAGCAAAAACAGAAAACTGATGATAAACCAGGTCTAGATACCAGTCTGTGGTATTGACCAGTAAGTAACTGAAATTGACACTCTTCCTCTAATTCAGGGTACACTTCTGCAGGTACAGGGGAACAGACTCAAGATGACTATTCTGACAACAAGCAATATGAAAGACGATCTGAAGGTGGGCAGGGTGTTGCACACCTATAATCCCAGCATTCAGGAGGCTGAGGCAGGAGAATCATTGGGGATTTGAGGCCAGACTAGACTACACAGTGAGTTCAAGGTCAGCCTGAACTACCCAGCAAGAGGCTGTCTTCACAAACACATGCATGCGTGTACACAAAGATCTGACAACAGAATTCAAATTCATTTTGAAATTTCCAATAACCGTTTCCCCAGAGACACATGCAATTTATGTCAAAATGGAATATGCTAGGGGCCACTTTCTTCTATCAGCTTGAAACCAGTTCCTATAACTGTTATTCCTGTATTTTACTTTTTTGTACTGGGGATTGAACTTGGGCCCTTGTGCATGCGAGGCAGGCAGTGGAGCCACTGAGCCAAATCTCTGGCCCTATTTCTGTATTTTAAAACCTGTTTTTTGTTTTGATTTTTGAGACAAGTGTCCTCCTGTCTCAGCCTCCTGAATGCTGCTATTATAGGACTGTGCCACCACACTCAGCTTAAAACCTGTTATCTTAAAAATTTTTTTAAAAAACAACAAAAGAAACCCATCATCTTACCTTTCTAATGGTCGCAACACATATCGTGGAAAGATTTAAGGGGTCTATAGCCTCCAATTTCATTCCTTCCTTGAACCACTCTCCACTCTGGTCTACTTCTTTCACCTGGAGAATTATATGAAAGCACAAACACTGTTATAAGCGTTGTCATCTCAGTAACGAAAATATCACCAATGTGAAACAATGGTTTATCAGATGCCTTTTCCTCCAACCAAATGTAACTCAAGCTTCCATTAAGAAATAGAGAGTCCAGACAAATTAACAGAATTCAAGAATAATTATGACAGAGATCTGTTATAAATTATAAAGCCTTAGTCCTAGTAAAGGAGCGTATGTAACTGTGATTTCTACAATTTTAGGAAACAACCCACAACCCTTTTTCAAATCTAACTTACAATCGAGGGCTCTTACAAAAACGTCTTACCTTAGCAAATAAATGTGGTGGTGTATCAAAATGTCCATCCTGTTTCTTTGTAATATCTACAAGGAAAAGTTACACATGCATCTGTCAGCATTTGTGGGAAGACCAAAAACCGCCCCTTGCTGAAGGTCACACACGAGGCACGAACACTGTAAAGCATGGCCTAGGACATGCCTTCCAGCCCTGGGGAATCGTGTGCTTTGACAGGCGTACACGTACGTATGCTGTTAGACAAGGTGCAGCCCGCAGAACACGGACGCTCATGTAAGCAGGGAGTTACTTCAGGAACATGTTCCGATGTGCCTGGGACCCACAGTGAATCTTACCACTTTGATTACAACTGAACTGAAAGGGAAAGACTATCTTGACATCTTTCAAATGGGCTGGATTAAGAAAGAGGAAGAAAATAGTCGTGGTCAAAAGTACATCATTATAATCATTAACATATATCATTTTTGTGGCCCTGGGGATCGAACCCAAGGCTCTGTGCAGCAAAGTGTTGTTATTTTTTAATCGAGAGCAAGTGGAAGGAATACAAAGCAATTAGCTAGGACACTAAGATGACGTGAATTAATTAAATAAGGCAGAATAAGCATCCCAAACAACCAGCATGCTGCTTTTGCCCTAAAGTGGTTGAAGGGGGGCAGTGGTCAAACCAGGGCCTTGCACGTGCTAGGCAAATGCTCTACACTGAGCTACATCCCTCGTCCTAGAATGCTGTCTTTGGTCCATGCTATTTTACAAAGAAAAATAAACAAGTAGTGTAATTCAGTCTCTACACTCCTTTGCACGGTAGTTCTTGCAATGGGCACGTACCAGATCTTTTGAATCGATGGCCTATGCTTCGAGACCAACCAATGTGGTGGATTAAGGGGCTATGCATATGGCACCAGAAGTCGTCTGTCCTGTCTTCACTCTCTTCGTACACCAGTCTCAATCTCCCTCCGATGACACTTTCCACCACTGCCACTCGTGTTCGACACAGGTGTCTCTTGTCAACCACCTCCACTCTCATGCAAGGCTTGAAAGGATATTGCATACTCTCTGAAACCTAAAACGGAAGCAGACAAAACCCATTCAGAATGCGTGACAAAAGGTGTATGATAAGCAATTTTAATACTGACTGCCAAAGGTACCGATGGCACTTAATATTTAACCTAGATCAACCAGTTCATGAAATTTAAATATCTAAATCTGTAAATATCTTCTAAGCTACTCTTTCTTCTAGCCCCGTGTTAAGATCCCTTCCTTACCTTTTGTGAGAAGTCAGGAGGAAGGGTTTTGGCACCAGTAAGTCTTTTCACTAGAAAAGCTTTCCAGTTTGTATATTTATGCTGAATAGCTAAAACAAAAGAAATAATCAGTTATATTTTAGAAGAGTGAACAACTGCCTCAGTTGTTTTAAAAAAAAAGGGTAACAAATTTTTCTGCAAGTCAGTGTATTAAAAGTTCTTGAAAGTAAAAAAAAAACAGAAAATAAATGTTTGGCTTGCTGGCACAGAAGATACTTTTAACTCCTCTGTTACTTCAAATAGCATTCTGACAGGGGTACTGGAAATGACGGTAAGGGAAGACCAAGCACTTACTTCTAGGAGGGACAAGGGGCTTCCCACTGGCTGCACACCACCCAACTGGATGGATATCGGAACCACATATATTACACCAGAAGTCCAGACCAGAGTCGTTTTCAAATCCTTCATATCTTAAGAGAGCGTTGTAACCTGGAACCAACAAAGTGATCACTACATAGTAAGAAAACTCCAAAATAAAACAGCGTCTGATAGCGGATATCAAACTCCAGCTCACGTCTGCAACAGAACCTCTTGTTGGATTTGTTAAGAGAAGGAGACTGGGCCATTCCCAGAGACTCAGAACCGGCAGCTGCCTGGCGAGTTCGCCGTGGTGGGGATGGAAGCGGGCGCACTGTGCACGGGCTGGAGTCCTGGAGTGACGCGGTCCCTACCTGTCTGGACCAGGCTTTGAGACCACTGGCTCCAGGCAGTCAGTTCAACTGTTTTCAAGTCTTCCTCCTTTGAATGCATTTCAATTTTGCCCACACTTTCTCAGGTTTTTGGGAAAAAAGGCCTCTCAGTGAAAATAGGTGGGACAGCTTACCAGAACAGTTCTGGCTGGGTGCGGTGGTACAAAACAAGAATCCCTGCACTCTGGGGAGTTTCAAGTTAGAGCTCAGCTTCGACAACTGAGGGATAATCTGACTCAAAATCAAAACAAAACGGAAAAACCAAAAAATGGCCGGGATGTAGTTCAGGGCAAAGGCCCTGGGTTCAAATCCCAGGAGTAACAAATAATTCTAAAAAATACAATAGGTTTTAATAAATTATAAAACCCTTTCATGTCACAGAAATCCAGCTGAAGTATATTTTAAAGACATTGCCTCATTCAGCTGATGAGGCCGGCAGTTACTTGGGATAGTTTGGATATGGTGACTTCCAGAATCGAAATTTAAAGTCAGGAATGGTGGTAAATGCCTCCAATCTCAGCACTCAGGAGGCTGAGGCAGGATGATCTTAAATTTGAGGTCAGCTCTGATTATATATATAATGAGACCTTGTCTCAAAACAGCCTCCACCCCCAACTCCAGTTTAGACAGCACGTGGTGAGTGACTATAATCCCAGCTGCTTGGAAGGCTAAAGCAGGAGCACTTCAAGTTCGAGGTCAGCCTAACTTAGTGAGACCCTATCACAAAATAAAAAGTAAGAAGGGCTGGGGACATGGCCCATGGTAGGGTGTAAGCCTCAGGCATGAGGTCCTGGATTCAGGATATAAAAAGAAAATATCTAAGTTTTGCTTTTATTTGGAAATATGATTTGAAATTTAGGTAGAAAGTTCAATAAAAACCAAAGTATGTGTAATCACTCAAAAACTTCATCATGGGCAAACAGGAAGCCTTATGGTCTGGGGGAAAAGATGCTAAGTATACACTCTGATTTTAATTTCATAAGCCTTGTATTAAACAGGTCGGGGCTTCATTTTAGGCCTTTATGGGATAAAAAAGACTAATACACTTATATTTTGGGCAAGTTCCGCTAGCATTTTCAGGCACTAGCACCTGTGATGAAAATGCAAACAGTGACAAAATTTAGAACAATTGTTTGAGATTGCAAAGATTACTAATGAACTTTTACTTCTTTACTTACTTTAAACTCTGGGGATTCATCCAGGAGCTCATATACAGCAGGCAATCACTCTAGCACTGAGTACATTCCCAGCCCTTTTTGAGACAGGGTCTCCCTAAGCTGTCCAGGCTGGACTCAGATTTACACTTCTCCTTCCTCAGCCTCCTGAGACAGTACCTAGAGGTTACAGGCAGGAACTCTAGTTTACGATTAGCACAGGCTCACCTCCTTAAAGGCGAAACCACTTAAAGATCCCATAGGATAAAATTAGACCAAGTCAGAGAGGTGAGTCAGAAATCATTCTTGGATATTAAGTTGTGCTAACTGATCTAAGTGCACTGACTATGATAGAAACACAAATGTTCTTTTACATTACAGTGCAGAGAATAACAAGGATTTAAAGTACGCTTATAAAACAGCCAGGGAAATGCTTCAAGCAAAAGGCTGGACTGCACTGGTGAATGCGACTGGGTAATAATACGATGAAGAGTGGAACGTGGAACACTCTTGACGGACGGCACCGAGGTGACGAAAAGCACCGCGGGGCGGTAGGAGGGAGGGAGACAGAAGCACACACACAAAAGCACACACTGGTTTCATTAGCACAGACCACTTATGTGGGGCAGCAATGAACAATATGGCTAGCGATACGATGCAGCGTGAGCAGAAGGGGCTGAGGATGCAGCGCGGTGGTACAGCGTTTGCACAAAATAAAGAAAAAGAAAGAAAAGGCAAAGGCTAGCTTTTGGTAAGTCTATGGGCAATCTACAGTAATGCAGAGTGCAGCAGAGGCTGGGGATTAGACAGAGCAGGGCGAGCGAGCCCCCGCTCCGCTGGGCAGCACAGCTGGGCAGCACAGCGCCACACTGCTCGGCCCGCGCCGCGCTCGCACTCGGTACCCTGCTCACGCAGCAAGTCTCACAGCCCCGCGCCGCCCTGCAGTGGCTAACACAGAGGGCCCCGACACATGCACTGCGCGAGCAGGTGAAGTCACGAGCGCTGGGAACAGGGAGGCCGTGGAAATGAAGAGGAAAAACCCAAGATACGGGAAGTCATCTGTATTTCTTTAATTTTGTATCATTGACTTCACCCTCACCCCCCACACTGCGGATCGAACTCAGGACCTTGTGCTTTCGAGGCAGGCACAGTGCCACAGAGCTAAATTCCAGGCCCCCTTCACTTCCTTTTTTAGTATTTCAGCTTTTGTTATTTTTCAAAGTATTTCCCTATGTAATAGTGCTTGGCAAACTGTATTACGATCTACTGCCTGATTTTCTTTCTTTCTTTTTTAACAGCCTAAGACCTAAAAACTTTCTTCATTTTTAAGTGGTTGAGAAAAATAAAAGGAAGAATCCTTCAGAAGACATAAAAATTACTTGAAATTCCCATTTCAGTGCCCATAAATATAATTCACCTGGAACACATTCATGCCCATTTATTTGTGCACTGCTATGGGCTGTTCGCGTGTTACCAGGGAAAAGATATGGAAGGTGCACTGCACAGCCTACACAACTGCAGGTATCCGTCCTTTTTTATAGAAAAAAATTGCCAACTCCTACTCTGTATCATGTCATTTATTCAGTAATACTTGCAAAATTCACAAACATACCTTTTTACAAAAGTTTTTATGTATCACTGGCATATTAGCAAATTATAATGCATGCTTCACCTGCTAATTTTACAATTCCAGCAATCCAGAAGACTTTGGTAGGTAGGCTGCAGTCTGTATTGGGAACTTCTACTCTCACGTTTTCTGAGATGTCACCCCAGCAGGTCCCCATTGGTGCCTGTCATATAAAAATTATTGAATTATTGTCTTATTAAAATATGGCCTAAAACATCATTCAAAATTAAGCATTATCATCATCAATGGAAGTATTATTTTCCCCACTGCACAATATTTTATTTAAAAAAAGAACGTTAGGATCAAACAAGCTGAAAAAAGAATTCACATGTATTAAACAAATCTATTTTGACATCAAAATCCAACAGTCCTAATACAACATTTAAGCGTCTTTCTAAAAGCTGAATTACAAACCTGACAGACTTCACAAGATCAAGCTGCTTTGAGAAGTTTATTTTTAGTGTGTACTGAATGAATTCATTTAATCGAACTCTTGAATTTTAAAAGATCTGCCCAAAGAGCAGAAAGAAAAATAATTCCTATCAGCAGAGTAGTTTCCAACAATATGAACAGGAGAAAAAAAACCTGGCCGTCCATATGCTTTTATTTTGGTACTGGGATCGAACTTAGGACCTCACTCATGCTTGCCAGGCAGGCGCTGTGCCACTGAGCTACCATGGCCTGGCCATCCATGTTTTCAGGGTAAGTGAAAGTCTTAGAATATAGTTTATTAGGACAGACATGAGGGAAAAGCACTGAATAATTGAACAGTCTTTCGGAGATGAGCACTATAGTAAATTGTTAGATAATTAATCATTAAAAAATTTTCCTGTGAAAGAATCCTTCTAAGGAGAAAACTTACAATATTAGAACTGGTAATCACAAGCTTCTACAACAAATGAGTAAGATGAGACTCAGAAACCAACGAGATGAGCACTGTGAAGGGTTTTCCCAAAACATAACACACATTTCCAAACTGCCATTTCTATCACATTTTAGTCCTTAAACTGCAAGCCAAGTCATAAGAGTTTATACAATGGTAAATGAAATCAAATGAATGGACTCAAAAACTTATATAAATCCTATAACAGTTTTATTGGCCTGAATAATTAGCTCTTCTTAAAAATAAATTAGAATCTGGGACATTAAAAGGATTAAGCGAGGTTGCAAAAGACCTGATAATATGAACAAATTGGAAAAAAGTAAAACAGCCTCAAAGCCCCAAGACAAGCAAACAAAGAACTAATCAATTTGGACTCTGGGTTTCCCACTGAAGGCCCCTCAGACTTCACAGATGCTGACCCACAGGAGGATTAGCCACTTCTCCTCTCAATGGTTTATTAATTTCTGAAGGGAAGGAAGAGACTATCAAATAACACTGAACTAGGACAAGCCTAAAAACCAGAGACAGTCAATTAATGACTGCTGCTGTGGGTGGAGAGAAGTCCACACACCTCAGGTACTTGGAGACACGCCCTGGCCCAGCTATTTGAGATTCTGGGAAGGAACCCGTGCTAGCGCCTTCAGCTGGGAGAAAAAAATTCATTGTGATTACTTTTCTTTTGTTTGTTTGTTTTTTTGTTTTTTGAGACAGGGTCTCACCATGTAGTTGAGACTGACCTGGAACTCACCATGTAGCTCAGGCTGGTCTCGAACTCACAGCTATCCTCCTGCCTCAGCCTCCAGAGTGCTGGGATTACAGTGATTACTTTTCTTTTAAAATGAAAATGTTGGACCCTTCAGGTTCCGCTCTCTCTCCCTACATCATTCTAGACCATAGGGCCATCCCTATTGCCAGCAGATATGATGAGAAAAGGAAAGGCCGGAAGGAAGACAGGGGACACAGACTAAACTACCACATGTTAACACCAAGACTCTTTGCTTCTGTGAGGGGAAGCAGTTGGAGCACAGATGCACTTCGATGCATGCATCAAATTGAGGCAGGGTATTCACTCCTCGTTGCCTGACTGCCAGATATGGGAACTGGGTTTCTTTTTCATCCAAAAACTGATCAGCTGCAGGTTAGGTTGGCACATGGCTATGCGAATATGGTAGACAGGATGCCCTCTTGAGCTAGGTATGACAATCTGCTGCATTAACTATTCATTTATTTATTTAAAAGCCATAGCGTTTGTTTGGGGAAAATAACTTTTAGCCACATTTTACTGAAGAAAGCAAAGTGTCAATATACTCAAAAAATAAAGGTCATGTTCAGTCCAGTGGGTGGGAGAGCTTATGCTTTGGTCCCTACAGTCTGGATTGGTATAGGAGAAAGTAGCAGAAAGTGACATTTGTTCTTGCCTGTAAGGTTGTGGTTCTGCTAGGCCCTCTTAAACCAATCCATATGGTTCATGCTACAAAAAAAAATGAAGAAACACAAACATCAACAAGAAAGAGCACCACAGTCATAGCGTAGTTCGTGCTCAACGTGTTGAAATACGGTGATGTCACAGGTATATCTGCCCTTTTGTTTCAAACGAAAACTCGTAAGTGTGGAAGACTAAATGACCCAGGGCTTGACAGCCATCTTCATCCAAGTCATCTGTCTTCTCGTGCTGGCAGGAGGGACACCTCTGCAAGTCTGGATTGGCACAGCATGAACTAGCAGAACCAGCATTTACAGGTAACAACAAATTTACCTTCCAGACTCAGGACGCGAGGTCCACCTCAGGCTCCTCCCAAACAAGGAAGATCTGCTCCACCACTTCCTGCTCCGGGGCCTCTCGTGAGAGCTATCTGGGAGCGACGCTCCTTCCCTGCAAGGTAAGCTGTCATCAGGTCCTGCAGGACACAGCCAAATCCAAATGCTGCGGGGTCCCCAACACAGAGTATGACAATCTCCACTGCCCGTCTCAGCAAAGAACAGGGCAGGAAGTCTTATCCTTCTGCACTTCAGGACACCCCCAGATGGTCCAACAGCCCTGAGGCCAGTACAGTGGTGAGGCTCTCAGAGGGCATGTGATCTTTAGGGCAGAAGCGAAGATTTCCCTCCACAGAGCTGCCGGCCTAGACCTTGTGGTAGCCACAATCTTTCATGTTGACAGACTACAAGAGGTCAGACCCGAAGTTGCACAACAGGTCATCAAGAAGGAATCCACTCCCACAGTACGGCAAATACGAAAGCCACCTTTAAAATAACTTAAAATGAACAGACGTGTTGTTACTGAAGTACATCTAGCAGAGAACAAAGAATTAGTATTTGGCCCACAAAAAAAAAAAAAAAAATTAGAATTCCTACATACTATTTTACTGCATTTGGCCCCAAACAGAAGCATGAAGAAAGAAATTGTTCCCACCTTCTCCAGAAAGTCCACTCTCACCTTCTGATCCGACACGAGAGCTTTTATTTTAGGGTGGTGATGTGGAGATGGGCGGTGCAAGGGAGTACAGAAGGAAAACCGAATGTTCAGGGTGGAAGATTAAGGATGAAGAAATGACAGGCATACATTAAACAGGAAGCAGAGACCACTAATGTGAAGGCTTAAAATAATCCATAATTAAGAAAAACTGCATTAAACTGGTATTGTTTATGCATTAGGAGATCCCAAAAGCAAAACAAACAAACAAACAAAAACCACTTTAGGTAAATAGACCAAAATTACAGATAATTCACATTTAGGCAGGCTTTCTTCTTGCCAAATTAAAAAAAAATCTTATTAGGCTTTCTTTAAAATGTGATTTCTATCCCACGCAGGCCCAAACCTCTGCCACAGAATGGCTTTATGGCACAATCGGTAACTTCGGATGGAGCCCTGGCAGGTGCCAGAAGCAAATCCAACTTCTGAATGGAGATGAGAAAGAAGTAATGGGATCTAGGATGACACTGAATATTCTATTCTATCTTTAGTTGTAAGAGGTACACGTTGTTTTAATTTTCATCTGTCAATAGACTCTTGTTGTGCAAGTTTAGGAAACAAAACAGAACAAAACAAATTCAGAAAGTAATTTTACTAAAATATAGCCGAGAAAAGGGACAAAAACGTTTAAAAATCCATATATATGCTTTTAAAAAATATGAATTTCCAAACAGAGTCCCGACTGGCCCTCACCTTGCTATGCAGCACAGGCTGGCCTCGAACTCGCCTCACCCCCTAGTGCTGGGTTCCAGGTCTGTACCACCATGTTCCGCATGAAGGTTACTCTAAAGCTATGCGTGCATACAAACAAAGGAGCTTCTATTTTTCTGTCCTTAAACCTAAAATTTTATTTATGACATGGTATAAATATGATAACCTTACTCCTTCATTTAGGTTCTGTGCAAAAGAGAAAATGAGAATGCAGTATGTAAGTGATGGCAGTGTACGTGCGGGAACAACCTGGAAAAGTGCGACCAAGCTGGAAAGTCAGAGTATCCACGTGGACACAGGGCTTTCTCTTACACAAAACCACAACTACTTTCAAAGGAAAGCACAAAACGACTGCCATTTTGGTTAGCAATGACAGCACCAATAAACCATGAACGTTGAGGTACCAAAAGAGAAGAAATCCTAGCTTTGTAAATAGGTAACCAGAGGAATGTACTTTTAGCTTTGTGATAGGACAGCTTCATGTACACACTTGATGCTAACACAGTCTGGCCCATGCAAACTACCTAGGAAAGAAATATTTTTACTTACTTTTATAAGGTGAACAATGGGAGGGAGGAATGCTCCAATTTAAAAACTACAGTCTTTAAAAAGTTAAAAAAAAATTAAGATGTTCTAGTTTTAATGTTCTTAATACACACAAATCAGGTGGAAGTTCCTTTGTAATAAACTAATAAAATAATAATCTGATCATCTGAATTTCAAGGTGCCCCTAAATGGCAGACTACACGGTACTACTGTTTTGGAGATTTCCCTCCATAGTTTATGGATGTGGATACTGTAATTAGAGACTTTTTAGCTTAATTTGGAAAAAAACACTTAAAAGCAAGTTAAAGCCCAAAGTTAAAGATTATGAACCTGCTATTCAAAAAATTTCTTTATTTAAGAGAGACAGACTAGGTAAAGTAGACGATCTTACAGACGCCTCTCAGCTCTGTAACCACATAATCCAGAATTAATTAGACGTGGCATTACTGACTTCAGTGGTTTCCCACAGGGTGGCCAGGCTCAGGGACAAGGCGCCAGGCCAATGGCTGCGTTTCCTCCTGACTTTTACCCTGGTGATGTTCTGAGGGCTAAGTCAGATTTTATGGGGGAAAGGGAATTCTGAGGCTTAAATAAAAGGACTGAAAAACTACTCCCTAGATAAATATGAATGATCGATACAGTTGTACTTTGGTTCACACACTTAATTCATTCCACAATTTTGGAGAAGATGGCTGTGGTCGTGTCTGTTACTGGATGCATAGTTTTAGAATGAAAGCAAGTTTGCCAAATGCTTCTGTTTGCAAACCCAATTGTTAGAGAACGGAATTATTCTGAATTGAGGTATTACTGTATATGGAAGTCCTTCCTAATACACAGACTTCAAAGTGACACATTAAGCAGCAATGGGAATTTGATTTCCATTGTTGATTATTAAAAAACACTGCTGTACTTGGTAACCACAGTATGCAGTTACAGCAATTATCTGAGATGAGTCTTATGATCAACTGTACAGAGTCCCCAGAAGTTTAAACACATGCGACAGTAGAGTTCTACGCTTGAAATTGTATATTCTTAGTACTAATTGCAATAACATCCAGGTGTTGAAAAAGAGAAACTATTTATCTGGGACCCTACTCTAGGAGAGGCTGGCTTAAGAATCAGGCAGGTGGTTCTACTCTCAACATCAATTTCCGTTTCAGACAGCTCTGCTTCTATGTTACATTTGTTTTTATTTTTATTTTTAGTTACTGAATGATTTTTTACATTCGTTTTTAGACAGGGTCTCACTATGTGGTTCAGACTGGCCTCGAACTCACTATGTAGCCCAGGGTGGCCTTGAACTCATGGTGATCCTCCTGCCTCATCCTCCGGAGTGCTGGGATTGATTACAGGTGTGTGCCACCACACCTGGCATTTTTAAAGAAAATCACGTTTATAAAGAATCTCCTAAGAGCAGGGCAGGGCTCTAACCTGGGCTCAGGCAGGTGACAAGGCGGGCACAGAGTCCAGGTTTCCTGAGCCAGCACCACTGATGGGCAATGTGGAAGAGTTGGCTCTGGAGGTCAACACTGACTTAGCACAAGGTCTGCGTGGCTTCAATGAAGAGAAGCGAACAGAATAAACTCTGTACTAAGATCTACTGCGGAGTTACAAATACATGCTTTTTCCTATTTGATAACAAGGCGGTAAAGAAAGGTGGGGGAACAGGAATTCACAAGGCCCATGCACTGCCAGGCAGGTGCCTGGCTTTTGAGAAGGGCAGCAGCATGCCATCCCTGTAAGGTCAGCTGCTCTCTTCTAGACAACAGGGAACTCAGATTTTTAAAATTTGAAACAATTTTTAATTACAAACTTCATGAATCTTGTTTGTAAAAAAGCAAAACACTATGTGTTTCTATGGTTGCCACCTCCAACCCCACACCCTCATTCCCCTCTGAAAAATACCCGTAACTCTGTTTAGTATTTATCCTTGCAGTCCTTTGCCAGTGGAATCTGCTTTGCTAACTGTGAAACTAGTAACGGACAGAGCTGAGTGCGCTCTCCCTTCCTGCTCCAGCACACACCTGGGGAGCCCAGTCTCCTGCCAGGACACAGCTCCACAACCAAGCCTTCCTGTTTCCGGGGGTGGAATGCCCTGCTCTGCCATAGCACATTCTAATCTTAAAAAGCAACACGGAAAAAAAATTAACCTTATTTTAACAGGTTTTAAAAATCTCTCCATTACAGAACTTTAATATAGTTTAATGCTCAAAGGCATGGACAGGAAAAAAGATATGCTTCCGGGACTCTGAAATGCTATTTAAGAAATATCATGACTACTTATAATTAGACATGGCCTGACCTGGTTCATGGCATTAAAGCATAAAAAGATGATCTAAAGAGAGATGAAGGCCATGAAAAGAGACAACAGACAAATGTTCCAGGAATCTGAGATAGTTCTTACACTGAGAATTTATTCTAATTCTCAGATTCTTAGTTCCTCAAAGCAATATTAAAAAAAAGTGTTTTTTTTTTTTTTTTTTTTTTTTTTTTTTTTTTTTTGTTGTTTTTTGAGACAGGTTCTCGCTATGTAGTCCAGGCTGGCCTCAAAACTTGTGGCAATGCTTCTGCCTCAGTCTCCTGAGTGCTGGGATTACAGGTGTGCTCTACCACTACCCAGCCCCCAAAAGGAGATTTGCTTTGAAGTTGTCTTTAAAGCTGCTGGTTGGGTCGGGGAGTTAGCTCAGTGACACTGTGCCTGCCTTGCAAGTGCAAGGTCCTGAGTTCGATCCCCAGTACTGAAGGGCAGGGTGGGGGCGAGAAAGCTGCTGGTGACATGTGAGCAATGTATTTCATAAATGTGACATCGTTATCAACACTAAAGCAACATAAATCACCTACTTCACATTGAGATAAATCTTAAGAGTCTGCTTAAAATTGTTTTATACAGTCACCATGCCAGGGTTTAATATTTGTTTGTACTTTCTAGAAAAAAGCCACCATGTACATATGAGCTAGGCTTGAATTTATGTTTCTACCACTGAATGAGCCGACACGATATTGACCAAGACCCTTTCCTGGCTCTGAGCGTCTGTAAATTCCATCAGGATTTCCACAGCAGGAGACCACGGTGCCTTGTTCACTCGATCTTATGGAAGGTTAAGTCCTAAATCAACAAGATGCTACGGATAAACAAAATTTCATCATTTGCTAAATTCTCATCTTTTTACCCATGGAAAATAGCAGAGAAAAACCTTAAAATATAAGTTAAACTTCTAATCGAGACAAACATATTGAGCAGAATTAATTACAGATAACCAAAAGGAAAGAACTTGTCACTGGGTACACTGACATAATTCTCAGCTGCTCCAGAGCCTCCGAGAAGAACACATTCCGAAGGGTTGTTATTTGCCTCGCAAGGCTACATTACTGATAGTTTTCTTGTTTTTGAGATTTTATATACTTGCAGACAAAACCCAACTTTAAAAACCCTGCCTTTTCTGAATCACCTGGTCAAATCACAAAGATTCAGGGAACATACACAGCAGGTGGTTTCTACCACAGGGCCGAGCCAGGTGCAACTGTGTACACGCGACCGTTTTGGATGCACACAGAACCCACTGATTTCCTATGCTTCAGCTGAATATGACGAGGACGAGACTGTCACTTTTCCCTGTTTGAAAATAATTTCAAATAGCAGCTCCCCCTACCGTTTCAGTGCTAGGACTGAGCCCAAGATCTCATACATGCGGTGCTCTACCCCTGAGCTACTACTCCCCAGCCTGCACATCATGACCCCTTTACAGGAAGACTGTCCTCGTAAAACTTACAGAAGTGATTTTTTTACCTCTTTGTAGGTATAATGAAAGAAGCATTTTCATTTGAAGGGTAAGATACTTAGGTGTCATGGTACCTTTAGGTTTAAACAATGACTGAACATTTCAAAATAAGGTAAGGAATCCATACTCACGTGTTTAAAACAGGTAACCGGAGCTGCTAGAAAGCTATTGCTATTTATGTAGTTGCCCCAGCTGAACCCCTCCATGGAGACTGCTGAAACAAAATAAACTTAGATATAATTTTCAAACGTTTTTTGAAGAAGCCTGCTATTATTAAAATATAAAGGAAATAGCATTCATTTATCTGTTTTTAAAGTTTTTTTTTTTTTTTAACCTGTAAAGACTAAAGAATTTCACTAAATAACTGGAGCTTTTAGCTGATACCATACAGGTCAACCAGAAGTGTTTCAGGTTTCAGAATTTTTCCTTTCTTCAGGGATGTGCAGGTGGATACCACCACACCAGGTTGGATTTGGAAACACTGCTTAGAGCTTACTGTTGCTCCACAAGTATCAAGAGTGTTTCAGATTTTACATTTTCTGACTGGGGCTGCTCAAGCTGTATCTGCAAACTGCAGTCTCTGAAGCCTTCGATATGAAACACAATACACTGGGAGGTGAGGTGCAGGCTCTCCAGTCAGCAGGAAGCCTCTCAGAGATGCGGCCAGGGCAACTCACAACGACAGGGCTGTTTTGTGTATTAAAACACACTCGGCTCTTCCTGTGCCCCTCAGCCGTTACCTACCTAATGTGTCCTTACTACAGTTTTTTTTTGTTTTGTTTTGTTTTTTTGGTACTGGGGATTGAACTCAAGACTTTGTGCCTGTGAGGCTGGTCTCAAACTCCTGGGCTTGAGCTGGGCGTGGGGGCACACACCGGTAATCCCAGCACTAGGGAGGCTGAGGCAGGAGGATGGCTGTGAGTTCGAGACCAGCCTGAGCTACATAGTGAGTTCCAGGTCAGTCTCAACTACATAGTAAGACCCTGTCTCAAAAAACAACAAGAAAAAAAATCAAACTCCTGGGCTCAAACAATCCTCCTGTATCAGTGCCTTACATTTTATTTATTTCCTTGCCTTCATTCTTCTGTTAGAACACTTCTAGCTAAAAACAAGACAAAACAAAACCTCCAAAAAATAAAAAACAAAAAACAAAAACAAAGAAATTTTTAAGTGGATGTCACATTGCCACACAGGAAGCTGATGCAGAAGGTCCCAAGTCTGAGGCTAGGGAGACCATGGATCGAAACAGACAAACATGCTGGGCACGTTGGCGCATACCTGGAACCCCAGAACTGGGGAGACTGAGGCAGGAGGATCACTGCAAGTTTGAGCCTAGCCTAGGCTACATAGTAAGTTCAAGGTCAACCTGCACTACACAGTGAGACCATTTCAGGGAAAAAAACAAAAATGGAAAATAAAAGAAACAGATAAACAAAAGCTGGAGATGTAGCTCAGGAATAGAATGTCCCTGGTTCAATCTCCAGTACTAGGGGAAAAAAAGGATGTAAATGAATCTTCTATTAGAAACAATCCCTTTTTCTTCCCCCCAATCCCTTGAAAGTCTGCTAAATGTCCTATTTCTTTGCCCACAATGCTCCCTGCACTGCACTGCACAGAGAACCAATATATTTTAAAAATTAAGTTGAAAAAATGATTCAATTGAAAAAATTACTACGCAGTAGCCCTCTTGCCTCTGGATTAATTCACTGAGCACCACCAGGAAGCCTATCATGTGCTAAAGGGGCACAGAAACAGCCAAATGTCTTTACTTAAAACTAGATGAATCAATATTAAGTGTTTCACTTCTATTCCATTCACCAGTATTACCTGCTTTCGTCTTTGCTTGATTTTGCAAGGTAGCTTGATACTGAGCGTAAGCGGCTAGTTTAGCAACTAAAGGTTGTTTCTGAAGAACTTTCGCTTTCTTTGTTGGAGGCTTACCCTGCAACAAGAAGAGTTAAGTAAATAGGATTCTTTTTCATCCCCCATCACAGCATTTTAACATGACTGCATACTACTCATTCTGCTTAAGTAAACATTGAGGGTTTAGAAAATTATTGAAGCAGAAGAAACATACAAGGAATTTTAACGTGAGAAAATTTTTCTGGCGTTCTGCTACAACACAGATCTCTAATACGGGTAGCAGAGCTGGGATAGACTAAAACAGCAATATGCAAATTAATATGTTAATAAAAATTATCCCATAAAATGTTAAAATATAGGCTCGGTGGATACTCGATTTCTTCTTACAGTGGATAGAACCAGTGGTTATTCACTCATGCAGGTTGCCAAGCATTGCTATTTATATGGTAAGAGAAGATAATTTAATGTTCAAAGAGCAAGTGACTGAGGTTTATACCTTAAGTGCTAACGCAAAAGATCAATGACAAAATGATCATGGCCAAACTCAGTGTGACAAACTGCCATCCGTTTGGGTACAGACCACTGCTCAGGATCTTTAGGTACTGTCTATCTGAAATATAGAAATACATCTAAGTGATGTATTTCCTTCATGTGGGGGATTCAAACAACCCTTTCAGTGCTAGGAGACGATCACAACAAGTTAAAAAAGAAAAACGTGACCATCCAATAAGACAGGTTACAAAATCCAGTTATATAATGCCTTTAAAAAGTTGTTTATATGATACAATAATAACTTAGTCGAACAGTCAAGACTCCAATCATTTTCTAGCCACTGATGTAATTGTAAAAAAAAAGGTGATTTTCAGCCAGGCATGGTGGTGCATGCCTATAATCCCAGTACTGGGGAGGCTGAGGCAGGAGGATAACCTGAGTTTGAGGTCAGCCCAGGCTACACAGTGAATCTGAGACCAGCCTAAACTATACATTGAGACCCTGTCTCAAAAAGAAGAAAAAAAAAGTGATTTTCTTCTTATTCCATGAATGTTCTCAAAAAGGTTACCTGGACTAACCAAGGACATTTAGTCAAGGTCAAGGTACCAAGTGCATCATACTCCAAAGTACAAAGCTGTGCAAACCTAGCACATGCAAGGCCCTGGGTCAGTTCCCAGCACCAGTACCACCACAAAGAAAAAAAGAAAAAGCACCAAGTAAAGGTAATGGGAAAGTAAAACCACGGAGAAATCATTTCCCCTCAAATGCTGAAAGATTCTACCTTGATACTAACTCAAAGGAAAAAAAATTTATTTCTACTTATTTGGAAAAGGTAGCATTTTTATTTCACTTACAACATTCATATAGTTTACTTTGGATAGCACACTTTGTCCATCTAAAAGAGTTACTCAGTTTTGTAAAACTTTGGACCTCACACACTTCCTAAAAATGTGTGACACAAAAAGATAATGGGACAGTTGGGCAGGGGTGGAGTGCAGCGAATCACAATCAGATGACAGATAAATGGTGACAGCCTCGAAATGACAGATATAAACAAAAAGAAGGTTTCTGTACCGTTACCTGAAGTCTGGCCAAAATGCTTGCCTTCTTGGAGTTAGACGAGTAACTTCGTGAGCACGAAACACTGCAGAAACGTTTTGTCTTAGAGTAAAAGGCATCTCGCACGCCAACCATCCCACACATTTCGCAGGTGGCTAATTGACAAAATAAAGACATTTTGGAATTTTGGTCATACAATAAAACCAAATTTTATCTAACATTTTAATAACTTGTTCAAGTCTCTACAGGTTTTTATTTAAAAACCTGCCTTGAAAATTTCTTCCAGCTCTTACACGAATGACACAGAAGCCTACACAAAGTTAGAAGGCCAGTGTTATGCCCTGGTGACATGGCCTGGGTCAGGGGCACACAGATGGGTGTCAGTCAGATCCAGCGAACTCGCTCAGTGCTTACACGCGTGAGACATCTTCACACACATCACAAATTACCGATTCTCAAGTGATGATAAACAAGATGAGAAGTGAAACACTACTGAAGATTAATACAAACTGTGGTGAAAGCCTGTAAAACACCGCACAGATTGAAACTTTTTTTAATATAGGTTTTTTTTGGGGGGGCGTGTACCAGAGATCAAACTCAGGACCTTGTGCTGGCCAGGCAAGCATGGTGCCACCGAGCTAAATTCCCGGTGACTGAAATTAAAAAAAAAAAAAAAAAAAAAAGGCGACCTTCGGAAAAATTCTAAGGGCGAGATGAGGATTCTTTCAAATCCTGTTCAGGAGACCTGAAGGACAGGCTAGATTCCAGTCCGAGGTAAGTGCTCTGCTGTTAACCAGTGAACAACTACGCCATAATGGATAACCTGAGGGGCTGAGATGGACAGACTTTGGTTCCCAAGGACCGACGCTCAGGAAAGGTAAGTAGAAATTCAGACCCCAGAGAAACAATTGGGCCGAGGCCTCCTCCCAAACAGTAAAATGGGAGGGACCTGCAGTATAATCAGCACTTAGAAATCCAGGGGAGGGGGCCAGGGATTTAGCTCATGCCTGCCTTTTCAAGCACAAGGACCCGAATTCGATCCCCAATACCAAAAAAAAAAAAAAGAGGAAAAAATACTTTTTCCATTTCTCTGACCTAAAAACAGGATCTTATCAGCCAGGTGTAGTGGTGCACACCTGTAATCCCAGCACTCGGGAGGCTGAGGCAGGAGGATCCCTGTGAGTTCGAGACCAGCCTGGGCTACACAGTGAGTTCCACGTCAGTCTCACTACATAGTGAGACACTGTCTCAAAAAACAAAAACAACAAACTAACGAACCAGGACCTTATCCTTGAAGATGTTAAAAAAAAAAAAAAAAAAAAAAGGTCACAATTATGTGGCTATAGATGCTATGAACCCAAAGGGACAGGAATCTTATCAGGAATCCGTGTCAAACTAGAGTCCTCTGAACAAGGCTGCCGGGTGCATCCAGGGACTTCCTCTGTGCTATTCACCTCTGAATGTCCGGCACACACAAGCATCAATAGCATCTCTTTCCTCTTCTCATTAGGTTGCCAAATGATTGCTCAACTGTGGCAAGAACATGCAGGGACAGGACAGACACAACTGGAAGGCTCGATGACAGCAGAGACATCAGACGGCAGATTCACAATGAAAACTCGACCAAGAGTTAGGAAGAAAAAGGGTTTCAAGGAAAGATTTAAAATCCTCTTATGTTTGGGTTTAAGAAACCAACTGCAAAAGTACAGGACTGGAATACACTGGTTTAGCTTCTCTTTAACAAACTTTTAAAACAATCAGTTACTTGAAATTCAGCATTACTCTCAAAGCTAACATAATTTTGGTGGCCTGAATAAAGGCAGCAAAGACTGAACTGTCTTCGGCCCTCACACACAGGCTGACAGCTGTGTGCCTACGATATTCTTGGTATGGGGCTTTCTGTGGTAGAACCAGGACAGAGCAAGCAGTCAGGGGAGCTGTCACCCTACTACAAGAGAACAGAAGTATTCCCAGAAGAGACCGGCCGGCACACTAATGAACTATAAATCCCTGACACTATGGATACTCCATGCACCACCCCCGATGAGGGTGGAAAGCGGTCACAGTTCCAAGATTAGAATTAGTTTCTATTGGATCTATGTAGCTTGGTGGTGCCACACCTGCCTGGCAAGCACAGGGTCCTGAGTTCAATCCCCAGTACCGGCCCCCCTCAAAAGAATTATTCTCTATAGCTTTACTCAAAAAGAAAATTATCAGCTGGGTGTGGTGGCATCTGCCTGTGGTCCCAGCACTCAGAAGGCTGAGGCAGGAGGATCACTGTAAATTCAAGGTAGTCTGAATGACATAGTGAGACCTTGTCTCAAAAAGTGAAAAAGAAAAAAAAAAGGTCATCTTGATAGATAATAAACAGATAGATAATAAAACAGTGTGTTCAGATTGGGTCTATCTACTTTTGTAGAGCCTGGGATCAAGCTCTGGGCCCACACACATGAGGCAAGTGCTCTACCAGTGAAACCTGTCGTTCCCAGGACAGCTTTATAAACAACACTAAGTACTGGAAATATGTATGTCAAAAAAAGCTGCTTTGGGCCCAGGATTTAGCTCAGTGGTTCTGGGGCCTGCCTCAGAAGCTCAATGGCCCGAGTTCCACCTCCGGTACCATCAAAAAAAAAAAAAAAAGCTGTTCCACCGCTAGGGCCCCTCTCTCCTCAAAGCAACACTAAGACCAAAAGTCAAGCTGGGGTATGGTGGTGGGCATCTGTCATTTCAGTTGTTCAGGAGGCTGGGGCAGGAGGGTCAAAAATTCAACACCAGGATGGACAACTTAGCAAGGCCCTGTCTCAAAATAAAGTAAGACCTGGGATGGAGCTAAAGGGTAGAGAATCTGCCTAACCTGCATGAGCTCTGAGCCTCAGCACTACAGAAAACACAAGATACTTTCTTTCATAGTTGCACCTGACACTAATCCCATCCCAAAAGTTAGAGAAGAAGAAGGCTGGGGATTTAACTCAGCGGTGCCACACCTGCCTCGAAAGCACAAAGTCCTGAACTTGATCTCCAGTACAGATGGGAGGGGGGCAGAGAGAGAGAGGAGCAGGATGTTGACTGCTTCAGTATAAAGGATATTCTAGTAATTAAAGATACTAAAAAATGGAAGTGATTTCTGAGCCAGAGATACCTATCACTGGAAATACATATATATAAAATACTTTTTTGGGGGGTGGGGGTTGACCCAGGGTCTCACTATGTAGTTGGGACTGACCTGGAACTCACTATGTAGCCCAGGCTGGTCTCGAACTCACAGCGATCCTCCTGCCTCAGCCTCCTGAGTGCTGAGATTACAGGCGTGTGCCACCATGCCCGGCATCCCTGGAAATACTAAATAGGAAACTTCTTTGATGTTTCACAGAAGAAAAAGCCCTATGTTGAAGAGTTCTTTCAGCTCAACTTTTTTGGGGGAGTCCTGGGGTTTGAATTTGGGACCTTGAGCTTACCTTGCACCAAGGCAGGCGTGGTGCCACTGAGCTAAATCCCCAGCCCTCTATGAGTTTTTAACCTATTGAATTTGTCTGCCTTGCGTTTCTCAATGGCCTTTGCTTTTTATTTTGTCCTACTTACTCCCACTAGGAGGAAGTAAGCAAATTTAGGACACAGTGATCTTATCTGGACCTGGGAAGTTTCAGGCTGCCTCTTGTCAGACAGCCTTTGAAAATTCCAAGGCAGGGAAACGATGGAAGAAATGAAGGAAAGCCATCCCTAGGCCATGCGGGAGACTCACCCATGCCAGACTTGCCATCCGGGTACGTGTACACCTGCCCATTGTTCTTGATGATGGGGAGGCTGGAGGGTAGAGGGGCGACTTCTTCTTCACTCTCTTCAGAGCTGGAGCTGCTACTCGTGTCCTCACTGCAGCTATCATAGCCGTCGAACATCCCGAACGCGTCTCTCCTCCTCCTCTGGGATCGTGAAGAATGTTCTGTCTTAAAACGGGAAGAATCAGTGAGGTGTGACACAGGGCTCAGCACGCCCCGTAAAGACCTCAGCGCCGGTTCCTGACAAATCAAAGAGTAGCCCTCAGACGTGATAGTATTACTGTGTACCAAAAGCTAAATATGAACGTGATTCCTCGTAGATGAGACACAGATCTAGTAGTCATCATGTTAGCTACTGCAGCTGGTGAGAACGGGGAGAATGCTGCAGGGAGTCACACTGCCATCACACAACTCTTATCTTTGACGGCCTCTCTCTGCTCAATGAAAAGGATTTTAGGCTGGACACCAGAGGTGCAAGCTGTAATCTCAACTACTCAGAAGGCTGAGGCAAAGAGATCCAAAGTTCAAGGCCAAGCCAGGCAGTTTAGCAAGAACCCATCTCAAACACAGAAAGGGACGGGGGCTGTAGCTCAGTGGCAGCACACTTGCCTAGAATGAGTGAGGGCTGGTTCAATCCACAGGATCTAATCCCAAATCTCCTTGTTTTTTTTGTTTTTGAGACAGGATCGTGCTGTATAGTTCAGGCTGGCCACAAACTTGCTGTGATCTTCCTGCCTCAGCCTCCCAAGTGTTGGGATTACAGGTGTACACTAACACACCTGGCTCTAACCTATTTTTAATACTCTTCTTTTAGACCTGTCTTTTGCACCCAGTTTTTTTGGAGACAGGGTCTCACTCTGTGTAGTTCAGGCTGGCCTAGAATTCACTTCAACCCCCCTGCCTCAGCAGCACCACACCGGGCTCCTAAGATCCCTAAAGAGGAAAGCAGAAAAGCCTATAGTTGGCAGTCACTTTAGAATTACTTCCCTTTTCCCCAGTAGACTTCCCCAGCTTGATCATCCAGATTAACTCAGCAGATATGGTTTTTCTGTGGTGCTGAGGAACTCAGGACCCTGCGCCTGCTAGGCAAGGGCTCTACCACTCAGGCACATCCCCAGCCCGACTTGGTTCTCGATCATTTCCAGAATTTCTATAAATGAGATGTATTTTAAAAGCATCAAAAGTTGCTACCATCAGATTCAAAAAGAATAAAGAAGACCCTGCAGGCACTAGCAGAAAAAAAAAAAAAAGCTCTAGCATTCTGCACTGCTGAGACCCGGACGGGAGTGCGGCGCCATGAACAGGATCCCGAGAGCCGCCAGCCTTCACAGGTGAAGCCGCCTGGGCTCTGCGTCGCACGTGAGCCTGCGCAGGTTCGCAGTCTCTTCTCTACTCATTCAGTATTCAACAACGGATCTGACACTTGTGCGGGTGAGTCGAGAGGAAGATGGAGGTTGTGGAAGGATTGAGGACGGCAGGAGGAAACCAACAAGGGCAGGTGACAGCACGGTAAGCCAGGCTGGGCTGGCAGCTGAGACCCTTGCTAACAAGAGCCTAGAGGAGACCCTGAGGACAGAAAGGCTGTGTGGCTGTCTGGGGCTGGAATCCTGGAGACGGAAAAGCAAGATTCCGGGGAGGCGGGAACTAGGCCACGGAGGGGGCACAGGAGGAGAGGAGAGGAGAGGCTGTGAGACCTTTCAGGAGAGAATTTGTTGCCTGGGGCACTGGGAGGATATTTTAAATTCTTCCTCACCAGGCCTGGTCTACATACTTCATAAACACTCTGCTAGGTATTTAGGGTCTTAAAAAAAACCAACTGCACACCTCCATGCAGAGGCAACCTTTACCCTATATCCATGGTTTTCCATTATATCCCCAGGCTCAATGGTTTATTATACAGGGAGCAGCCACTGCAAGTTTACTGACCCTTAGGTGCGTACTTTAAGGGAAAAATCTTGAATTTTCAAGGGATCGATAATTAAACATCTTGGTTTTGATAATTAGACTGTTAATGTAAAAAAAGATCTTGTCAAATACAGTTGGGAAATTTTCCTTGAGGTTTTTTTCCCTTCTTTAAAGTTTTAAATATGCTTATGAACATTATGATTATTAAGGAAAAATACACGGTATGGAATTTCTTCCAAATTATCTTGAAGGTCTAATGTTCTGAAGTCATTTTCTGGTGGCTGAGCCACAAATACACCTACAAGTTGGGAGAGATTTATTCTGGCTCAGCTTGTAGAAGCTTCAGTGGGCTGCTCCAGGGCAGGGCGGTGTGGCCCAAAGGCCTGGGAGTTGGGGAGGAGATAAACCCCTCCAGGCCCCACCTCCTAATAGCAAGCCAGCTGCTGGTCCTTTAGTCCAATCACCTTCCTGTAAAAGGCCTGTTTTTGAGCACATGATACCTTAGGGGGACATTTAGATATAAACTATAGGATTCTGCCCCAGCCCCAATGGACTTCTGGATATCTCCTTATGCATCGTGGATTTAATCCATCTCTAAGGATTGCCAAAGTCCTAACAGTTCCAACTCGGCTGAAAAGTCCAAGTCCAAAGTCTCTGAGACTTAAGGCAAACAAAAACAATGGTAAACACTGCCAAAGTACAACGGCGCCAGGGTAACAATTCCCATCCCAAAAGGGAGGAAGAGGAGAATAGAAAGGAATGGGACCGAAGGAAGACCAAAACCCAGCAGGGCAAACATCAGGTCCTGTAGCTCCACGACCAGCACCTCGGGCAAGTTGTGGTGACCACATGTGAACTCCAAAAGGCTTTGGCGGCCCTGCCCCTCCGGCACTGCTTTTGGTTGTAGCCCTTGGCCTCTCTCTGTCTTGGGCCATCGCTGCTCAATTCCCTGAGCTTTCCTTAGCTGGTCCACATTCCTGGCTTCTTCAACTTCCTGGAGTCTCCACTGTACTTTTGGCTTCACACACTGCCCTCTGAGGGGCATGATGCCTGGCATCCCAGGTCCTCTTCTGAAATCTGGGTGGAAGCCACCCTGACCCCACAACCCTTGCATTCTTCATGCCGGTGAAACAGTACCATGTTGACGAGGCCAAGGGCTGCCGCCAGCTAGAGCAGTAGCCAGGTCCCCTTGAGCTGGGGCTGCACAGGCCTCTCACTGCCTGGGTGGCTCACCACTGTGAACTAAATCCTGGGGAATTCCCTCGGTGGCCCTTCTAGAGCAGGGCGCCCAGTGTCTCTCTTCTCAAAGCACAGTGACTTGTGCAACCGCAAGTCTATGGAAGAGTGTGGTTTTGTTGGTTCCTGTGATATCAAGTCATTTTTTTGCTTTGTTTTAAAGCTAATCTTTTAAACAACCAAGCTCTCCTTTGTTCCATATCCGCAGGCCCAACTTTACAAGAGCTTCCTTTTTGGGCAAACTCAAAACTTTTAAAGTCAGACGTCCTGTTTGCTTTTGATTTTCAGTACAAAGCTTGTGAAAAGCCCCCAACAGTGCCCACGCCACAGGCTGAATGTTGGGTTACCTTGAAATTTCTTCCACCAGATTTGTCTGCTGCCTTTAATCTTGGTCTCCTCCAAGTCTTGAGACATGAGCAAACTGTAGACAAACTCTCTACTAGTATAATACACACAGTCTCAAGTCCAACTGCCAAGGAATCCTTCCAAACGAGACTTCCTAAGCCTAGTCTTTATGGTCTTTTTTTTTTTTTTTTTTTTTTTTTT